GGGCTCGAACCCACAAACCACGAGATCATGACCTGAACCGAAGTTGGGTGCTTAACCAACTGAGCCACCCAGGCACCCCTGGTTTTCATTTCTCTTGGGCAGATCCTTGGATTGGAATTGCTGGTCACATGGTACCTGTTTCTGTTACTAAGGGGCTGCCAGACTGTTCCCCACAGTGGCTGCACCAGTCTGTGTGCTCACCAGCAAGGCTTGAGGGCTCCAGCTTTCTCTCATCCTTGTCAACACTGATCATCTCTCTCCTTGATTACAGCCCCTCCCAAAATAATTTCAATAGACTGATCTTAGTTATCTTCACGTCAACCCTGCAAGTCTAGATGATGGCTCCCCCACTAAGGGAAACTGAGGCTCGGAGGGGTGAAGCGAGTTGGTTGCCCAGGACCGCTTCAGGAGACGCCCGTGTCAGAGACACAAGGAGTGCTGGGGCCCAGGGGCATCCCCGGGGGTCTTTGCAACTTCTTTCTCCCTTGGAGAGAGGTCTGTCCTCACTCAGGGACTACCCACAGATCAGGGCCGCGACCTGCCCAGAGAGGTTGGGGGTGTTAGGGCCCCTGTGGCCCGGGGCCGCTCATCCGCGCTCTCGGTCTGTCTAGATAGTTAGGAGGTATGGTTGTAGCCCAGTCGGGTCCTGGCAGCACGAATGAGGGCCTTGCCCAGAGGAAGGGCACCTTCTGTCTCTTGCACATGGACTAGTGGCGGCCTTGTTCTCGGTGCCCCAAGGCCCAGGCAGGCCCGGGCTGCTCCCGAGGGAGGGGGGTGAGGCCACCGCCCAGGCAGGCTGTGACCCCACGGCCGGCCCGTCGCTTTCGCAGGAGCTGGAGCTGGTGGAGGACGTGTGGCGGGGGGAGGCGCAGGACCTCCTCTCTCAGATTGCCCAGCTGCAGGAGGAAAACAAGCAGCTCCTGACCAACCTCTCGCACAAAGACGCCAGCTTCTCGGAGGAGGAGTTCCAGAAGCACGAAGGTAGGAGGAGGGGCCAGCCCGGGAGGTCAGGGGAAGGCTGCTCCCAGCGTGATCGCCCACCTCCTCGGTAGCAGTCATGGTCACGGTCCCCGAGTGAGGGAGGGCGCGTGCTGGGTCCCAGAGCCTTTTGTCTCGTGTGGTTCCTGTCACTCTGCCTGGGAGAGAACGTGTAGCCCTGCTTTACAGAAGGTGAAACAGGTTCGTTCAGCGGATTGTCATGGGTTCCTCCCTTTCGAGGCTCCGTTCTAGGCACGGGGGACACACAGTGGACAAGACGAAGCCCTTGCCCTCGTGAAGCTTGTGTTCTAGGGCTGGGGAGGGGCTAGATGATAACCATGTAAACCAGTAGATGGCATGGTTCCAGATGGTGACCAGGCCTCTGGAAGAACCCGACCTGGGGGTGTGATAGAGGTGATTTGGTGGGGGGCTTCTTTAGATGAAGTGATCAAGGAAGGCCTCTCTGACAAGGTGACACTGGAGCCCTAGTGAAGTGATGGAGTGAGCAATGCAAATATCTCGGGAGAGAAGCAAGTTCAAAGGCCCTGGGGCATGCGTTCTGTAAAACCAGGAGGGCCAGTGTAAGAGGAGAAGATGATCGAGGACAAAGGTGGTTAAAGATGAGGTCAGAGGGCTCAGCAGGGTCGGATCACATAGCCCCTGAGAGACGAAGGTTTGGATTTTATTCCAAGTGTGCGGGAAAGCAACTGGACTCTTGCCATGGGCACACGTTGAACAATGAATGACTGAGGGTGGTAAACCAGATCTGAATGGCACTGGAGCCCCTAAACTGTCATTCACCCTGCAAGCAGTTATCTAGACCCTTCACTCCAGGCCCTCTGCTGCTTTTGGGGATGCAAAGACAGACGTGGGATATGCTCTGAGCCCCCGTGGGCCTGCGTCAGCTCTGTTCTCCCCTGGAGCCTCCTTCCTAATCAGAGGCTGCCTGTTGTCCCAGGAATGTCAGACCTCTCTCTTCCTCTTGAAGAAACTCCCCGGGGACCCACACAAGCCCTCCCACCTCCCCCTGCTCGATGGGGTGAGAGGCGGGCTTGCATGGGGGCTGATAGTTCAGAACCATAGTTACGCCTCTGTGAGATTAAAGTAGCAGCACACTGATACGGACTGTAGGTGCTGCAATTCTGTTTTCTTTGGGTTTCCTGTGTTGACATGCATATCGTGCAATGAAAGCAAAAGTCTTAGTGGTTAGAAGGATTGGCTCCAGAGCCAGACTGCCCAGGTGTGAATCCTAACCCAAGACTTACCTCCTGAGTGACTTTGACCAAGTCACTTGATCTTTGTGTGCCTAAGTTGCTCTCCACGTGAAAAATGGCAGAAACACTGTGTGTCACTCTTAAGGTTGTTGTGACAATTCGATGAATTAGTATCTGTAGTTTGCTTAGAATAGTACCTGGTACGTACACACAGCAAGTGTCAGAGCTGTTATTACTGAATTTCTGTTACCTAGTCCAACCTCCTTATTGAACAAATGAGAAAAATTGAGGCTGAGAGAGGGGCAGTGAGGTGCCCAAGGTCATCCAGCAAGTTAGTGGTGAAGTCAGGACTGGAGCTTGAGTCTGCCAAAGCAGCCCTCTCCCCCCCACCCCACCCCCCAAAGAAGGCTTGTACCTCTCTGGGACCTCTTGATCTCAGGCCACCAAATGGGAATCGTGCCCAGCCCCAGAGATTGGGCCACTGTGATATTTTAGTGCCCAGGCGCTGACAGTTCTGGACAGACCACTGTTTATTCATTGACCCTTTGTAAACTCGTTTATCACTGAAGTGCCTGCTCTCCGCCTGGTGCTCTGGCTGGATTGCCATGTTGGAGGCCAAGAGGCACCTGCTAGGGCCCGAATCTCCCGTCCACAATGCCAGAGGGGGCAGGGATGGAAGAGTGTGGCCGAAGGAAAACTATTATTCTACTTACAACACTCTGACCCAGATGTGTGGGGTATTTTTTCCCCACACCAACCAATTTTCCAGGCACCAGCTGTGTGTCCTAGAATTTAATTCACTTGTGACACTGTCTACCCCAGAGCTAGCATCAGACTCCACAAGTTGAAGGATCAGTCCCACGAGACCGCCCCCACTTCAGGTGTCCTTTGCAGGCGATGGGTCCCCAGGATACACACATTTCTATCCACCTTGGCTGCAAAGTCACAGGTTCCCACAACCACCCCCCACAAGCTCAGTACTTTTCTGGAACGGCTTACAGAACTCAGAGACATGCTATTACTGGTTTATAAAGGATACAAAGGATATTATAAAGGACTCAGATGAATAACCAGATGAAGAAGGGTACATAGGGTGAGGTCTGAAAGGGGTCCAAGCTCAGAGATTTCTGTCCCAGTGGAGTTGGGGTGTGCCACCGTTTGTGCACATGGATATATTCATCAGCCTGGAGGCTCTCTGAACCCCAGAGACCGATGGAAGTGCCATTCTGTAGGGATGCACGATTAAATCACTGGCCATTGGCGATTTGCTTTGTGATTAGGTCAATCACCAGCCCCTTCTCCCCCCTAATCACCAATCATATAGTTGGTTACTCTGGCAACCAGAACCCCATCCTGAAACCATCTAAGGGGGCCACCAAGAGTCACCTCATTATCATAAAC